GGGGCCCCTCCCAGAGTCTGTACACCCCCAGTGAGTACGGGTACCACATTATGATCCAAGATATAGCCGAGGGGCTGGTGTTGTTCCATGATATTTCCCGAGGGGCAGATTCTGTTGACGTTGTGTCTGAGGGGTAGTTTTTATGTGTTTATGTGTTCTAGCCGCTCTTCATTTAATTGTTTAACTGTTAAAAATGTGTTTTAAAGAAGCTTCTTCTGAACTAAGTGTTTTTACATGTTTTCACTGTTTCATTGCTTTTACTGGTTTTATATTGCTTCTAAATCGCATGTTGATGTTCTTTTACGTGATTTCTTATCGCTCAGTCTTCATTTATTATTATTATTCACTAAGTTGGAGTACTCACTTTACTCCCTGCACCCTGTGTGCAGATTCAGGCGCTTCGGGTCCCGCTAGCGAGTGTTGACTTCTTCTAGCTCAGGCGGATTCGAAGATTCACTAGGTAGCTGCTCGGCGTCCGCAGCCTAGTGCTTCTCCCCTATCTTATTTACTCTGTTTTAGTTCTGTAATAAACTATGTAGACTTTTCCTATCTTTATTCAGATAGTATATGCTCATGACTGGTGACACCCCGGTGTCGGGCTATGTTTATTCCGCAATTGTACTGTTTCACCTTCTTTTGGGATTATTATTATTATGTTAAAGACTTAATTTATATTATTTTAATTGCTTAAAATGAATTGGGAGTGTTTCGGCTGGCCTTGTCTTCACGAGAGGCACTATCATGATCAGGTCTGGGTTTAGGGTCGTGACAACAGCTGGGCACTCAGTCCAAAGACAAAGGCGATGAGGGTTGGACTCTAGTCACTCATAAGAAACAAAGACATCAAGAAGTTTTAAGGCTACCACTTCCTAAGCCAAGAGCAAAAATAAGCGATAAGCTACAACCACCAAGAATTATCGAATCTTCTATTAGCAAGAAGATTAGCGATGCCTTATCGTCAAAATTCCAAAAGCCCATCACATTGCATGAATTCTTTCCTAGAAAATTCCTTCATAGAGGTCACGTTGGTGCAACTCATGTTGTTTCTAGTACTAACGAAACAAAAGAAAGCAACGATGAGCTTGCTCTAATGAAAACACAAGAACATCATGATAATGAAAAAATTGTCATATGTTGTGCAACAATTTCCTTCACAGATGATGACTTGCTGCTGGGGTCTAAGCCACATAACATACCTTTGTTCGTTATGGGGTCCATTCGGGAATAACATCTCAATCGCATACTTGTTGATGATGGTTCGCTTGTTAATATCATGCCAAATATGGTGCTAAAAATACTTGGGATCTCTATCGATGAGCTATCCAAAAGTAACCTAACAATCAAAGGTTTCAACCAATGAGGACAATGAGCCATAGGTATGATCCGCGTAGGATTATCCATTGATGAGATGAAGTCAAACATCCTGATTCACGTCATAGATGCTAAAACATCATACAACTTGTTGCTTGAGCGTCCTTGGATTTATGAGAATGGGGTGGTATCATCTACTTTGCATCAATATTTGAAGTACATAAGAGATGGAGAGACAGTCAAAATTGATGCAGACATCAAGCCTTTCACTGAGATGAAGTCATACTTTGCAGACATAAAATTCTACCTAGATTCTTGTGAACCAAAAGTGGAGAAACCATCATAAGTCAACGAGCTGGTGTCAATTCAGAAGAAGAAAATGAGGCTCAATGGACTGCTGCCAAGCTATCTAAGAAGAGAACTGAAGAAGTCCATTAAGCTATCATCATCTCAAGGTGACATACAAATAAAGATTGATAAGGAGCATCTAGTTTCTCGCTATGTTCCACGTGAGCACCGAAAGAAAGGACAACCTTTGTTACATGAATGTACTCCAAATAAGCAAATGAGTCACATAGCTATCCAAGATTTGAAGAAGCATATGACCGTCCCAATTGCACAAATCCCATATGTGACTTGTGAGTCTGCTAAAGGAAATATTCAAGCTGATAAAATAAAAGGGCAATTTGATCCTAAGGCCTTCATACTACTTAAAAAGTTTGGTTACGACTTCTCCAATCCATCAAGACTAAGAGAACTCAAAGACGAAGTCATTGGTGAAAAGATACATATGATCAATGAGTCCCAAATGAAGTTGAGAAAGCAAGGGCACTACATCGCCACTCCAAAGTTTGGGTTGGAATTCAGTTTGGCAGAGCCTCTTCGAATTTCATCTAAGAGAAGCAAAGAAATAGCTTCATCAAAACACACCTCGATAGAGGAGATAGACAAAGTTAAGGGCTAGAAAATAAAACAACGGGCTTCAGTGTTTGATTGTATTGGAGGCTCAACCCCTAGGGTCTCGGTATTTGAAAGGCTAAGTCACAAGGGTGAACCTGTATCTTCCAAACATCTAAATGAAGTTTTTACTAACTCAAAGACCTCCATATTTTGTCTCCTTGGAACCACAAGTAAGTCACCATCTAGAAAGACACTATCAAAACATAAGGAGCAAGGCCATGAGGAGCGATGTCATTTTGAAGTTGTTACTGACAAAGAAATCTTTAGTGCTTTCCCATCACGTATGAAGAGGAAATCTATTTTGTCAATATCCACAGATGGTCCTGCTTAAGGTGCAAAGGAGAACCATTGTTTATAGTTTCCAGCCTCGTAAAGAAGTAGAGAAAGAGAAAAAAGCCAAGCCATGCCGACTATCTAAGGAAGTCAAACAGAAAAGTCAGACTTTGTGGAAACATCCTATCACATAACTGTAGAAGATATCCCATGCCTTGAAGTTGATGATAAAGTACACGAGGCTCCCTCAACTAGAAGATGGCATACAATCGACTGTGGATAAACTTAAGGAACACAATTTAGGCACTACGGAAGATCCACGCCCACCTTCATTAGTGTGCTTCTTACGCCTCAAAGGGAAGGGTAATACTCCAAGTTATTGGACGAGTATAAAGAGGTCTTTGCTTGGTCATATTAAGAAATGGATGGTCTTGGTCCTAAGGTAGTCGTTCATCATTTGGTGATTAAAAGTGGAGTACGCCCTATGAAGCAGTCACAATGCATGTTTTGACCCGAGCTAGTACCTCAAATTGAAGTCGAAGTCAACAAGCTTATTCGAGAGGTGAAGTACCCATCGTGGATATCAAATATTTTACTTTTCAAGAAGAAGAATGGTCAAATACGTGTTTGTGTTGACTTTCGAAACCTAAACAAGGCATGTCTGAAAGATGACTTTCCACTACCAATCATTAAACTCATGGTTGATGCTATAACATGGCATGAAGCTATGTCATTCATGGATAGGTCCTCTGGATATAATCAAATCAGAATGTCTCCAAAAGATGAAAAGTGTACTGCTTTTCGAACTCCAAAAGGGATATACTGCTACAAAGTGATGCCCTTTGGTCCGAAAAATGCTAGTGCCACCTACCAACGTGTGATGCAAAACCTTTTTGATGACATGCTTCATAAGAGGGTTGAATGCTACGTCTATGACTTGGTAGTGAAGACGAAGAGTAGATGTTACCACCTTGAAGACCTTCGAATTGTTTTTGAAAGGTTAAGAAAATTTGAGTTGAAGATGAATCTACTCAAGTGTGCATTTGGAGTTACTCAGGAAAGTTTCTTGGCTTCATTCTGCATAATCGTGGAATTAAAGTTGATCCCACAATGATTCACGCCATTCAAAAAATGCCCGAGCCAAAGAACTTGAGGGAGCTTCGAAGTCTCCAAGGAAACTTAGCATTCATCCAGAGGTTTATCTCTAATCTGGCAGGACGGTGTCAACCCTTCAATCATCTATTAAGGAAGGATATCCCATTTCATTGGGTTCAGTTAAGTCAAAAATCTTTTGAAAGCATCAAAAGGTACTTGCTGAATCTACTTGTGTTAGGGGCGCCAATTCTTCTGAAGCCATCGATACTCTACATCGCGGCACAAGAACGTTCACTTGGAGCACTACTTGCTCAAGAGAATGAGGAAGGAACGGAACAAGCCTTATACTACCTAAGTCAAACTCTGATAGGAGCTGACTTGAGCTATACACCTGTTGAGAAAATTTGCTTAGCGTTACTGTATGCGATAAAGAAGCTAAGGCATTATTTTGAAGCATACACCATCAAACTCATCTCTCGAGCGGATCCTGTGAAGTTCTTAGTGACTCGACCCATTCTTTCTGTACGCTTTGCAAGATGGTTCATATGGATTAACCAATATGAGATCACATACACACCTTAAAAGGCTGTGAAAGGACATGCACTAGCCAATTTTCTAGTTGATCGCCTTCTTTTTTTCGGGCAAAATGGGAACTTTATGATGAGTTTCCCAATGAAGATGCTTTGTTCATTAAAGAACTGCAACCATGGACAATGTTCTTTGACGGGTTTGCACGTCGTAAAGGTGCGGAGGCAGGTCTTGTGTTGATCTCTCCAGAAAGACAAGTCTTGCCATTCTCACAATGCCGCAGAGTACCAAGCTTTGATCGTCGGTCTCAAAACGACATTGGATATGAAGATTCTATAATTGGAGATCTACCGCGACTCTAAGATGATCATCAACCAACTATTAGGGAGTTACGAGGTAAAGAAAGAAGATCTTTTGCCATACCATCAATATGCTTCTACTTTACTTGAAAGATTGACCAAGTGTTCTTAAACCACGTCCCAAGAGAAAAATATTGCAAGGGTGAGGCTTTGGCTAACTTGGCCACGACGATGGCACTGGGAGAGAATGAGTCAACAAAGGTATATGTGTGTCATCGATAGGTTATTCCTAGACTTCTTGATCTTCAAATCAATGAAAGTCATCATACATCTGTTTGAGTGATCGAAGAACAAGATTGGAGGCAATCAGTGATAGAGTACCTTGAACATGGAAAGTTACCTGAGGATCCGCGACCAAGAACAAACATCAAATAAAGAGTACCACGATTCACCTTTTATAAGGGGACATTGTTCCGCCACTCTTTTGAAGGACTATTATTGTGATGTCTTGACAAAGAAGAAGCCCTTCAAACAATGGAGGAAGCACATTATGGCTCATGTGGAGCATACCAATCTGGTCCAAGCTCCATTTTCGCATCAAGAGGATGGGCTACTACTAGCCAACAATGGTGAAGGATTGCATTAAACATGCCAAAAGATGTCAAGTGTGTCAATTCCACACCAAACTATATCCACCAACCTCTGGAGCCTCTTCATCCAACTGTAGCGTCATGTCCTTTTGATGCATAGGGACTTGAAGTTATTGGACCGTTTCCAAAGTCATCAAAGGGACAGACGTACATATTGGTTGCCACAAACTACTTCTCTAGATGGGCTTAAGCTATTCCACTCAAGGAAGTAAAAAAGGAAACGGTTGCCGATTTTATCAAGTCAAACATAATTTTTAGGTACGGCATACCAAGATACATAATCGTTGATAATGGAATGCCATTTGACAACAAGCTCGTGAGGAGTCTATGCGAGAAATTTGGTTTTAAGCAAGATATGTCTTCAATGTATAATGCATCCACCAATGGCCTTGCTGAAGCTTTTAACAAGATGTTTGTGTAACCTTTTGAAGAAAATTGTTGCAAAGAACAAGAGAGACTGACATGAGAAAATTGGTGAAACTTTGTGGGCATACCGGACAACCTTCAGAAGTGCTACACTAGCAACTCCTTACTCTTTGGTGTATGGCGTAGAAGCAGTCCTTCCGTTGGAGCAACAAATTCCATCATTGCGGATCACAGTCCAAGAAGGACTCATATCCGAAGAGAATGCTCAACTTCGCCTACCAGAGTTAGAGGAATTGGATGAGAAAAGATTGGAAGAGCAACCAAATTGGAGTGCTATCAAGCTCGGCTAGCTAGAGCCTTCAACAAGAAAGTGCGGTCACGATCATTCCAAATGGGAGACTTATTCCTAGTTGTTCGACGACCCATAATCCTCAACAAAGGAATAGGCGACAAGTTTACCTCACAATGGGATTGGCCATATGTTGTGAAAGAAGCCTATTCAAGTGGCGCATACAGAATTGTCGATAAGGATTGTCTTAGAGTTGGTCCGATCAATTGAAAATCGCTGAAGAAGTACTTCCCATGAAAGTCACCTACGCTCCTCGACGTACAATCCCAAACTGCAACACATGATGCTTTGATGCATGAGCCTAAACTACACGTTGCTACACTCCTAGCCCGCAGGAGTCTAAACTGTGTACAACCAAAAAAACGAATCTACTAGGTTGAAAACCTCGAAAGAGGTAGCCTAGACAAAAGTCAAGACAAAAAAATCAAAAATCAATTATCCCTCTAAACTATGTTATAACTTGATCCTCTTTACCGAGGTACGTAGGCAGCTTAGAGTTTTATTCTAAGTTTAGTCCATTGAGTTATAAAAAAAGGGTTTGGCATCATGAGATTATCATATTAATTCTTTCGAATGTTAAGGCATATGTAATTGAGGAAAAGAAGACAAAATGGTGCCAAAGCATAAAAGATATTTTATTGCTTCAATATAGAAAGAGTTATGTACATCAATGTTAAAAGCAGAATGAGACATAATCCTATACAAGGAATCTAAAGTCATGTAAACGATCGAAATATAAGCATGGTTGCCTACTTGTTCGTGACTTCTCCATATGATGGATCATCCTTGATGGCGTGCCCATGACATTTAACAGCTTCCATAATCCCTTAACTATGCGTCTTGTTGTTGAGTCGTGGGTGCAATGGCCAACTTCTTCTGTTTAAGTTCTCATACATGAGCATGTACCTCACTCTCAAAAGTTCCATCACTAGTGATCACCTTGTGCAAGTGTCCTGGATATCAAAACTTCGAGTATACACGACTTTTGGGAAATGAGTACTTCCACAGGATAGTCTCTCTCCAACAAGTTCGTGTTATGTAGGGAGGGTTTGATCGTTGTTGGTTGCTCAAAATATTAAAATATCTAAATCTTGTATACCTTCTTAGTATGACACCGAGACCTTTTGATCTCCTTCGCAAGTCTGCAAAAGTAATAAACAAGGAGATAAGATTCGTGATGATAGCTGAATCCAATACAAGGCTGTAAAATTAACTTCAAAAATATTTGTTAGGCTAACTAAGAATGAAAGGAGCTTCATATTCTACAAGATTATAGTTCTTGATGTCCTAATTTCTTAGGATTAAACTGTTGGTGATTTCGACGCTCCTAGTTCAAGATACAGATTTTTTGGCCAAAAGCATCAAACTTGAAAGTTTCATGCGGTCAGTTCGACATTCAATATTTTTTTGTTTCTATCCCGAGAAGAGTTCTTTGATAAAATTTTATGTGTTGCATATATATGAGTTTTCTTTCCAACGGTGCAGACGGATTGTATTTCTAACAGTCCTAGCTCAAGTTATAAATTTTTCGACAAGGTGCATGGAGCTGAAAAGTTAGCTGGGCAGACATGTGGAGCAGCTTTGAAAAATCGTACCGGACTACCTAGAGAGTGTTTTACCCTGAAATTTGGATATGTTAAAGCTATGAATGTTTAGTTTTTAATGATATAACTCATTTATGATCCAGACCCTTGTAGCTCAGGGTAGGAACGTTTCGGAAAGAATGCACAAGTCCGAAAAGCAAGTGTGACAGACATTTAGGAGCAATTTCAAACTACTGTTGTAGGTAATCCGAAAGGATTTCTTCCATGATATCTTCAAGTATTGAATAAACTGTAGTTTGTTTCCAATAATATAGGTGGCTCGCAATTCTGACACATGTAGCTCGAGATATGAATTTTTCCACCAAAGCGCGCAAAGCTGAAGAGAAATTTCGCGGATAGATGGGTAAAGTTCAAAAAGTTGCTGTGGACAATCTGCTACGAACCTTCTATGATATCTTGAGAATTTTTTTTATCTCTGAGTCTTATTTCCAATGGCGCAGACGGCTCGCGATTTGGATGTACCTAGTTTGAGATATATACTTTCCAATGACATCATGCAGTGCTGTGAATTCGAAATGACAAACTTGTGCAGCCTTCGAAAGTTCATTTCGACTTGTCCTGATAGAATTTTGCCCTAAGTTTTGGATATGTCACTTTGGTGCAAGTATTGATTCTATAGAACCAAGCGGATTGCAGTTTGGATACTCCTAGGTTGAGATACAATTTTTTCCAATAAGAGCATGACATGCCATAAGGTCATAAAAATATAACTACGACATGTGTATATCACATTGTGTATCGTGTACATCAATGTATATCAAACACATGTTTTTAAGGGCGTCTGTGTATATTACTTTGTATATCGTGTATACAACACAATTTATTTTATGTGCGCCCGTGTATATCATATATATTACACAAATTTTCATGGATATACGTAGATACACATAATATACAGAAGATATCACTGATATACATAGAGATATACATGAGTTACAATTGTGATATACATATTATTATTGTGATATACATTTATTGGCTATTTGAATGCCAATATTTATAACTAGGGCTATTTTCTGCCAATTATATGAGTATGTTGTTATACCATGCCAAAACCTCTAAAATTTATTGGGGCTAATCCACACAAAATTTGGATAAAATTTAATTGGATTAAATAATTAATCCGGGCTTTACAAGTTAAATTAGTCCATTGTATTATTTCAAGCCCAATGTCCATTTCATCTTAAGGCACAGACTCATGCCATGTGTCAAGTGACATGACATATCTAGTCAAACTGCAAGTTAAAAAGATGATGCCACGTGTTAAATGATGTGGCAATCCAAGTCAAAAAGCAAGAACCAATCACAGGTCGCCAAGTGGCTAAAATGCCATGGGCCAATTAGAACCAAGTAAGAGAGTTCATTTGTAGCTAGACTGCCCATCCTCTACAACTATAAATAGAGAGGTTACATAACTCTCAGGGAGTTGGAGAAGATCATTCCGCAATTGGTGAAGGCATCCACAAACAAAGAGATCAATCATCAAGTGCATAGTTCTTCAACAAAGGAGTGATCAACGAAGTTTTTCCCGGAGATCAACCTGAATCAACAAAGTGCTACTCAACTTTCTTGGCGATTAAATACATCGCAAGGAGGTCTACATCGTCCTACATTCGAGAAAGATGCTTCTCAAGCCCTCGAAACACTGAGAATTTCATAGAGGAGAATCAAGGGATACAAAGAATTGCACTCACAAATATTTATCAATAAAATCTCTTTTTTTTTTAATATCATTTTTGTTGCAGTTTTTTTTTTGTACTACGAAAATTTGTTGCGAACAAAAATATTTTTTCTAAGAATTTTCCCAAAGAAATTAATTAACGTATCTGGATGGTCGTTATCTTTAAGAAATTTCTTTCTGTTCTCCACATTAAGTTCGACAAGTGCTTCAACCCTATTTAAAAACCAAAAAAATTGATAAGACTTATAAAAGGTTTCTAAAGAACTGTCAAAACTTTTTCCGGAATCAAAGTTTACAAATAAATAAAAGAATTCGCGGAAAGTCAACCATTTAATGTTTTCCATTTTTTTTTTAAATTGGAAAAATAATTTGGAGGAGTTTTTTTGTTATATCAAAACCGGTCTCTATGGCAGTATGCTGATATTAACATGTTCTTTAGTACGTAGTTACGTACGTAATATAGTAGAATTTTTCTTGTTCAAGAAAACAATTTTTTGGCAGTAGCTGCTAATCAGTAACTCAAATCACTAGCAACCATTTGCCACAGCTATTTATCATGATTTACTAAGACTAATTCTGCCTCTTAGCACTAACACAAAAAGGAAAACGACACACAAGCCACGCTAAATCTTACCTTTCCTTATCAAAATGTTGTTTTTCTACTTGAAAAAAGATGTAATGAAAAGCTTTTTGCAGTGTTATGAAACTTAGTAGTATAATATAAGTTCTTATTACTTGAAAGTGTCAAGGGGAGAAAAGTAAAAAGGAAAGCAATATATACATATGAATACTCTTTAAGTTTTATGCACGTACAAAATATTTTTATTCAAGGTGGTTACGCATTACACTTTACAATTAGTACTGATTTTCTTCTTAGTCTTAACTTCATTATATGGGGATCGGAGAATGAGCAAAATACAAAATTAGTTAGCCGATAGAAACTAATTGCATATAACACTAAACTATAAGCCTTTTTTCGTATAACTAGTACCGAATGATAACCTGAAAAACATGATACGTTGCTTATCATAAAAGCCTGATAGAGTAAAATATTTTTATGACTTAAACTCACATACAAAACAAATGACATTGATAACCTAATTAACACGTGACTAACTCATTTTATTCGAATAAGCTAAATTAATATGCCATATAATGGAGTACACAACAACAACATGAAGACACATTAACGTTATTGGGAAAATGGCCGGCCTGCCGGCTTTCTTGTCACTTTCATCAACTTTCCTCTATTTCTCAAGATTTTCTCATAGTTTTAACTCAGCCTGCATGCAGTGTGTTTCTTCTCTGTTCTCCATATGTTTTCTGTTTAATTTGTTGGCTTTGATCAATAATTAATCACCCTCTCTTGACTAATTCACAATAATTTAGCTCCCAAGATGAGATATATAGTTACAACAATTTGAGAAACTTGGAAATATATTGCAGCTTATGGGGTGTGCTCAAGCAAAACCTTCAATGCATTCGCCCCCTCGGGGATTAGAGCAGTTGAAGTTGGAGAGTGGATATGTTGCTAGAGATGATCAACATGTTAGACCAAGAAGGTCCACTGGACAGAGGCCTCATGAGCAAAGAGAGAAGAATAATGCTAGGAGATTGAGTTATGATCATGCTTATAGAGATATTATCCATGAAAGGAATTTGGCGACGACTAGGAAAAGTACAAAGACAGCAATTCATGAAGAAGAGTTAATAGATGGATGGCCAAAATGGTTGGTTGATAATATTCCAAGAGAAGCTTTGGCTGGTTTAGTCCCAAAAAGTGCTGATTCTTATGACAAAATTGACAAGGTTTGTCTCTTCCTTCTTATCCATTTTAATTTTTATGTTATGTGCATTGTCACGTTAAGTTGACCAATGACAACAGGTAACTCTCTGTATGACAACCTTAAAAATAGAGTAAATAACATGCTATAACCTGTTTAGTTGCATTGATAATGCAAGAAAACTTACACTGTTATTGCACATAACTTAAGCTCTTAAAGTTATATTTAACACTAGCCTTCTGCTTCTTTGCTCCGTCCCTTCCTTTGACACAGGACATTTCCAATAAATATTCTTGTGTAATAAAGAAACATCAGGCTTAAATTAGATTGAGTTTGTGCTATCTTTTTTTTTTTTTGAGAATGTTTTGGATGCAATGGTAAAGAACAAAGCTGAGTAGTGAAAATGAAATTGATGCAAGATTTTGATATTTTAGGTAGGTTCAGGGACATATAGCAATGTGTATAGAGCGCGAGATAGGGATACAGGGAAGATTGTTGCCTTAAAGAAAGTTCGTTTTGATACATCAGAACCGGAGAGTATAAAGTTCATGGCTCGAGAGATTATGATCTTGCAGAAATTAGACCATCCTAATATCATAAAGCTTGAAGGACTGGCTACCTCCAGAATGCAATATAGTCTTTATATAGTTTTCGAATACATGCAGTCTGATCTTACTAGCATAATATCTCGGCCTGATATGAGACTTAGTGAAGCACAGGTCAGTACATTTTCAATCCATTCTTTTCAAAATTTGATGTTTGCCATTGCAATTGATGATTTTGAAAGCATTTGTCTTTATGCAGATAAAATGTTACATGCAGCAGCTGCTTGAAGGGCTGCAGCATTGCCACGAGAGGGGTATTTTGCACCGAGACATTAAAGGATCTAATTTGTTGATTGACAAAAATGGGATGCTAAAAATTGCAGATTTTGGACTTGCAAACTACTTCAATCCTGAAAAAAAGCGTTCTCTTACTAGTCGAGTTGTCACACTTTGGTACAGAGCTCCGGAACTACTACTAGGTGCTACAGATTATGGAATAGGTATCGATCTTTGGAGTGCTGGCTGCCTCATGGCTGAAATGTTTGCAGGCAGACCTATTCTACCTGGTCGCACCGAGGTACTACCCTAACTTTGATAAAATTTCCAATGTTACTCATCAAATTGTCATTTGATTAAACATATCCTAAATGATACTACTATAATGGTTGAAAAATGCTTTAGGTGGAGCAGCTGCACAAGATATTCAAGCTTTGTGGTACACCTACTGAGGATTACTGGAGGAAAACAAAACTTTCAACTACCTTCAGACCACCATATACCTATAGGTCAAATAAGAAGGAAGCTTTCAGGCACTTTCCTGTATCTTCGTGGAGGCTTCTAAACGTTCTTCTTGCGTTAGATCCTGCAAATCGTGGTTCTGCAAGTTCAGCTGTCCAAGATGAGGTAAATGTTAAATGACATACAAAATTCAATGTCATGCTAACTGTAAGTTTGATGAGAACTGTTTGTTAAATGAAGTTTTATCGTCTCTTGATTCTTTAAAATGTTTCAAAGCAGTTCTTTCGTACGAGCCCCTTGGCATGTGAACTCTCGGAGCTGCCTGTAGTGCATAAGGAGGATCCTGAGACAGTGTTAGTGCTTGAGAGGAGAAGGTAACTGAGCTAATTTATACGTCCAAATCGTCATCTTGAAATGTCAGAATTCTGTGTTATAAGAATCAGGCAGTAGTTGAGGGTTGTGATTTGTAATCTCTTCATATGGTCCTTGACAATCCGTACCTCAAAACTTAGCTTTTGCGTCTGAGTTAGGTCCATAGTCCATTTTCTTCACGAACAACACTAAGCTTAGTCTTGATCCACGTTGTTTCTTGAGAACAAGAAAAACTATACAAATTGAAGCAAAAATAATATAAGCCCTATCTATAACACTACACTAACAAAATAACAGTGATTTTTTCACCAAACAGTTTCATGTCCTGTGTTGTGGTACCATAAGCTCATTACATTGTCTGAGTCATCTAATGTCAAGCTTAAATCTATGTTAAACTGATCTGAAATTCAAGGTCTCGTTATTCCATTTTCCTTCCCTACAGGCACAAGATTCAACAACGCTCTCAATCACAAAAGGAACGCAAAAAGAAAATAATAGAAGCGGAAGAAACAAAACCAGATAATGCTGGCTCTTACAAGGTACATTTCTCAATTTATGCTCCAATACAGCTAGCACTAAAGAATATCTAGTGAAGACTTTAAAGACAATTATGGTCGTTTAATATTCTGTGTATGTGGAGATCGATCATTAAAAAGTAAAGAATTGTACATGTTTCAGGAGCCAAAAAAGAGTAGAGTTACAACGGTCTTTACCTTACTAGAGCCAGGAAGCACTACTACTACTACAACAAGCACATCCTCAAGCACTTCAAAGCCAACTGAGAAAGAAATCGAGACTCCACAGAGTTCTCCAAGAAGTACTGAATCTGATCCCAATGCCACTAGGAACATCAACAATAGACCTCCTTTGCCAAATGCTAGAAGAAGCAGAGCTAACAACAGCAAGAAGGATGCGATGAACAGATTGAGTCGCGTCCAAAGGTCTCAATCCACCAAAGATTTCCGAGATCTTGATCATAAAAAATTCCATAAGCTTCGTGACGTTGTTGAATAAGGCACTTACAACTAGTTCAATTACACTTTTGTTTTGCAACTTATAGATCGGGTAAATAACTTGTGGTCTATATTAAAAATTATACGGTGCATTGGTGTATTATGAAACAAGACAGGTTGTTTAATAAACAAGTATTTTGAGGTTATGTTATTCTTTTTTGTGTTACAAAAATAAAGATCTGCTAAGTAATTTGTTTTGGCTTTATATTTTGAAAGATGTAATTTCTGATTTTTGCTGCAAATAGGAAATTATTTCACATTTAGCATCTTATTTGATAGTACTGCAACGGGAGTTTCAGTATACAAACTACAAATTAGCGGCCAGCAGAGGAAATTCAACCCTTACTGAGGCAAGTAATGGTTCAGCTTCATAATCCAACCATTTAAATATATACAATGGAAGTTCCTGAAGCTATCTACTCCTATATTGTAGTATGTATGTGCGCAGATATGGATGCCACTGCGTGATTTATCCTATAACCTGAAATGGATTCAAGATTTGAATGCGATCACTTCAACATTCAAAGATTTTTAGCACAAAACACATATACTTTTGAAATTACGGGTAGATTCAACATTTGTTGAGATTTTATTTATTGATTTTTCACATATATTCTTAAACTTTGTGCCGAAAACATTGAGTTTGGTTGAATGCACAACTTACCACTGCCATAACTCATAAGTATGTTTCATAGTAATTAGCATGGTTAGATACTCCAATTCAACCTTGGATTGGGTAAAATAAAAACATAGGTACCACTTTATTTTACTTAAACACATTGATATTAAGCTAGTTGCTATAGAGTTCACTCTCGACTCCATGTACTTGCAGACTGTATACGGTAGAAATCGGGCTCATTTACGACATGGTAGATCAGACTCGGAACATGAAGGACTAAAGATCGACCCCAAGTCCAATCGGACTAGAACCTGGGGTCAGAATACCTGTCTTCAAGAACATTGAGTCCGTGATCCCGGAATCGACCCTAACCCCGAACGAGCTCGAAGAAACATTGTTAGCATAACCAACAGAAGACCAAAATATCCGTGACAGGTCGGATATTACGGCGGGAATCTCGGCACGTATCAATAAGAAACCGGCAAGCAGCAAACTAAGAGATTTTTACCTTTTATAGAATTGTACCTAAAGTAGGGCTCCCTCGCTATATAAAGAGGGTCTGATAATTTGTTTAACACATTGTAACACGCATTCCAAAGTAATATATTATTATTTCTCTCTTTAAGCTCTTATTCTATTGTATCTTGATACTAATCGAAAGGCATCCAGTTCAAGGGTGGCTGACTTTCCAAGACTGAAATTATCTCATTCATGTGGTTCGACTTTACTTTATCATTATTTAGTTCAATTGCAACTTAAATTATTGCTTTGTGTCAAGATACTCTATGTATCCTTAAAATCACTTACAAATTTAATTGTTTTCCGATTTTGAGGGTAAATAGTTTGGCACTCACCGTGGGGCTAAGGATAATAGTGGTTATTTGATACAAATCTCCATAACACACACTACATTACACTTGTTCTTTGAAGTGTCTCTAATTTCAGGTTAAAACTCAAAAATGTCAAACTCTCAATCAGCACCCCTACATGTTGACAATGAGTTCAGTCATCATGGTGAAAATAACAACATAGCGCCCTGTGACGAGGTACCGCCCGTTGATCCCGCCGGGATTCCAGTCACGGACCCGTTTGATGCTAACGCTCATGAGACTATCGACACAAATCTAGCTAACGATCCCGAGAATAGCTCCCGTGGTAGATCCTAATCGGGAGCTCAAAATACACAAAACAATGGAGCAGACCTGATCAATTTACGGATGTTCTTCGAAATATTATAGGCTCAACAGGCGGCGATAGCTCAGTTATAAAACCAAACCCGTACACCAAGCAAAATTGAACCCGATGTCCCGGAAAGTCACCCGCGGGGATGAACCGATCGCAGAGAGGTCATCAAATGAATATGAATCAGGGACCAACCCCGAGATTATGAATATACTTGAAGAACTAATGAAACAGATAGAATTGGGGAAGAAGAAAATTGAAGCAAACGACAAAAAGGTGAAAACCTACAATTCCAGGGTTGATCAAATCCTAGGAGCACCACCAATATTGAAGGGCATGGATTCTAAGAAGTTTGTGCAAAACACATTTTTCTTTGAGTGCGGCTCCAAAGCCGATTCCTAAGAAGTCCTGCATGCCCGAGATTCTAAGTACAACGGAACGACCGACCCAAATGAGCATGTTACCTCCTACACATGTGGCATCAAAGGGAACGACCTGGAGGATGATGAGATCGAGTCTGTCTTGTTGAAGTAGTTCAGAGAAACCCTATCAAAAGGAGCTATGATATGGTACCACAACTTACCTCCTAATTCTATTAACTCATTTGGTATGCTTGCAGATTCTTTTGTGAAAGCATATGCCGGGCTATCAAGGTCGAGACCAGGAAGTCGGGCCTTTTGAAAGTAAAATAGAATGATAATTAGATGCTCAGAGAGTTAGTGTCTCGACTTCAAATAGAACGGATTGATCTGCCACCGGTCGTTGATGATTGAGCCGTTCAAGCTTTCACCCAGGGACTTAATATTCGGAGCTCGGTGGCTTCATAACAGTTGAAATAAAATCTGATAGAATATCTGGCTGTTACTTTGGACGACGTGCACAATCGGTATCAATCAAAAATCAGAGTCAAAGATGACCAACTTGGGGCCCCTTCGGGGTCTATTTATCCCGTTAGAACCATCGACGGAGTCAAGAGAGATATCGATCATGAACCGAGGTTAAACAAGGGTTGATATCAGCCTTAGAATAAAAATCGAAGAAGTAGTAGGTTTGGGCGGAATTTTAGGCAAAATGAAAGGAGAAGTGATCGTGGTTAGAGCAACCGAGGACTCTTGAACAAAAATGGTTTCGACAACCTATCGGGCCTAGGAAGCACCGAGGTTATCAGAATATAACTTTAACATTATTGTTGTCGTTGTTGTATCAGCTATCAGACGTATCAAGGACACCTAATAGCCTCGACCTTTATAATCTGATCCCACCCAAATGGATCCTAACTTGATGCGCAAATATCATGGCACTCACGGCCACAAAATAGAGGATTGTCGACAATTGAGAGAGGACGTAGCCCTGCTATTCAACAATGGGCACCTTCGAGAACTCCTTAGCGATCGATCCAAGAACCATTTCAGGAATAGGGATTCTAATAAATAGACCGAATATGAAGAACCTCAACACATCATTAACATGATCATCCGTGGGGTCGATGTCCCTCAAGGGCTGATGTTAAAGCACACCAGAGTATCCAACACAGGGGAAAAATAGACTCGTGATTACATACCAGAAAGAACCTTGTCTTTCAATGACGAGGACGCAAAAGGGATTGTGCAGCCCCACAACGATGCACTAGTTGTCACGACCCAAACCGATGGGCCACGATGGGCACCCGGTACCTTACTCAACCGAATACCAATGTAACGTATCTTTCTTATTACATCATCATATACACGTGACATACATGCCTAATAGGCCAACATAATCATTTATAAACTCAAAACATAGGCCGACAAGGCCGTACAATATTTCACGTACATGACATATGTCTACAAGCCTCTAAGAATACATAAATATCATAAAGGTTGAGATAGATTCCCGCCATACCAAACAATATATGTCTAACTCATACTAACCAAACAAGCAACTCCGAAGCAAATGGAGCGCACCAACATCTTCCGGTGAGCTGATAGCCTACATGGAGGGCTCTCGACCTGTCTATCGGGACCTGGGAGCATGAAACGCAGCGTCCCCAGGCAAAAGGGACGTCAGTACGAATAATGTACTGAGTATGTAAGGCACATAAATAAGTACATAACAGGCATGGAAGAAATATAGAGTACATGACTTAACCTGTAAGTCTGAATAACTTTGTAAATCATAAATTACTTTTAGCATCATGCATATGTGTATGAATGTCATGTCGTGCATAGGTACTGTCACGACCCTAACCCCAAACCCGGTCGTGATGTCGCCTCTCGTGAAGACAAGGCCATCCAATCTAACCCAATTCATCTTTTAAAGCAGTTAATTAACACAAATATAGTCTAAACATGGTTTAATAATACTATATAGCGGAAAATATAGATAAAAAAATATGGAAATCAATCCTGACACAGCTCTAAACGGGGTGTCACAAGTCACGAGCATCTACTAGGGTATTAATACAACTGAAGGTCAGAAGTGTACAAATACAGTCTAATGAAATGAAGAGAGAGAAAAGCAATGCTGCGAACACCGGCAACTACCTTGCTAAACTCTGATGGCTCTACCTCGGATCAGCCAAAACATACCTGAATCTGCACACAAGGTGCAGGGAGTAATGTGAGTACTCCGACTCAGTGAGTAATAAATATAAATAATGACCTAAGATAAGAAATCACGTAAAAACACAAAGCATTCCATACTGAAGCAGTAAAATCACTTTAAATAGTAAAACAGTGAAAAGTCAAGTAAAAATCCCCTTTTCCAACAAGTAAAACAAGTAGTTTACAAGTGAGTAACAAATTAAAATTTGCCCATCGGGCTCAATATCAGAACAGTAATAGCCCTTCAGGCTCAATATCAGAACACAATGGGTACATGCGCTCACTAGGGGTGTACAGACTCCGGGAGGGGCCCCTTGCGGCCCAAGCGCAATATCAAGCCATCTCGTGGCATCAAATTTAGGCCCTCAGCCTCATATCAATCAAGCCACCTCATGGCGTATATAAGTATCTTAGGCCCTCGGCCTCATATCAGTACCAGTGTATCCTCACAACTAGGCCCTTGGCCTTTAATCAGTCCAAAATCATCACAAGCCCCTCAGGCAATAGTAAAACAATATTTCTCAGCCGAAAACATCATTTAGAATATCATTTAAATCTCAAAACTGAGTAAAATAGCTGAGTAGTAAAACAGTGGAAAAATAACAGGACTGAGTTCAA